AACAGAAAAAATGAAAAAGCTCAACTAATTATCTATATATTATATTAACTAATCAAAGGGTGCTTGATCATTGCAAGATTTTATTGGATGCATTTGTTTTTTCTCTCTCAATAAAAATATTAGATATATATTTTGCTAGTATATTTAATATTATTCCCTCTGAATTAAATAGAAACATTAATTATCCCACCGAACGAAGTTCGAGGGGGATATAGAAAAGCCGTCCGTCCGTCCGTTCGTTCGTCCGTCCGTCCGTTCGTGTGTCCAGGCAATAACTCAAATACCGGTAGACAGATTTCATTCAAATTTTATAGGCTTATGCCTTATGGGTGTAGGACCTCTGCTCCAGAAGGAATTTTCAATATGGCCGCTTAATTCAAAATGGTGGCCATTTTTTGGAAAAAATATAATCTTTAATAACTCAAATACTAGTGGATGGATTTGGTTCAAATTTTATAAGCTGTTGCCTGGGTACAAAGGAGCCTTGCTCAGGAAGACATTTTCAAGATGGCCACCAAATTTTAAAATGGTGGCCATTTTTCGTAAAAAAAAGTTATCTTTGATAACTCAAATGCCATTGAATGGATTTGGTTCAAATTGTACATGCTAATGCCTAGGGACATAGGAGCTCTGCTTGAGAAAGGATTTTCAAGATGGCAACTAAATTTCAAAATGGCGGCCATTTTTGGTAAAAAAACATTTTCTTTGATAACTCAAATACCATTCAATGGATTTGGTTCAAATTTTACTTGATGATGCCTAGGGACATAGGAGCTCTGCTCGAGAAGGGATTTTCAAGGTGGTAGCTAAATTTCAAAATGGCCGCCATTTTTCATAAAAGAACGTATCCTTTGATAACTCAAATACCAGTTGATGGATTTGGTTCAAATTCTATATGCTGATGCCTAGGGACAATGAAGTTCTGCTCAAGAAGACGTTTTCAAGATGGCCACTAAATTTCAAAATGGCCACCATTTTTGGTAAAAAACTTAATCAATGATAACTCAAATACCAGTGGATGGATTCGGTTCCAATTTTATATGCTGATGTTTAGGGAAAAAGGAGATCTGCTTCAGAAGAAATTTCAAAGGCGTTATCTGAATTTCAAAATGGCTGCCATTTTTCATAAAAAGGTAATCTTTGATAACTCAAATACCATTGGACTGATTTCTTCAAATTTTAAATACTGATGCCTAGAGATTTTTTATATAGTATAAACTTTATTGAAGTAAAGTAAATACATTTTTGGCCACCAATCGCCATATTGGCATTATAGGTTGGCCATCACTTACATTGTAAAAAATTAAGTATAGTATCTAGCTGTTTGAGGACGACTGTGCATCGAAGGGTATCCCAGGGAACAGAGGGGTTTGTGCCTAGTAGATGTGTAGAAAACAAGATAAATACATTAAGAGTTCTCCAGGGCTTAGATGAGGCCTCTTTGCTATGTATTGTTGTCATGGAGAAAATTGCTGACGATGATAAAAAGTTTACTTAGTTCTGCTAAGGATAATGTCTCGTCACAATATAAGAGAAAATTAAGTTTATCATCCATGTTTGTTAGTTGACTGATCTTATTATAAAAATTATTGTTGACCTCTTCCATCAGGGCATGCCTATTAATTTGGCTTAGAGGACAATTGAAAAATAAATGTTTTAGTGTTTCGGGTTTGCCGCAAGAACAATGAGCCGAGTCTATAAAAGTAAATTGGTGTGCAAAAAGTCTTGCTTTCAAAAATAAGTCAACACGAGCTCTGTTGAGAGTGATTTCTTGAGACATTGTTAAATTAATCAGGGACGTTGAACTGATTATTCTCTTGGGCAGATAGTGTTTATTACTTTCTTTTTTGAACGATGGTAGGGAAAATTTTAAGGCATATTCTAAAAGAGGTTTAGGTAGTTTGTTCCACAGTGATATTGCATTAGGAATAGGAGATTTAATAAATTGGGCAGTTGACCTTATAGGAATTTGGTATACATGTACCTCTGTATTGCTTGTTCTTCTGGTAGCTGGATTTTTGAATTCTTCGAATATTGAAGATACATAGGAGGGTACCTGGTTTCTGATTACTTTGTACATGAAGTTAAGAATGTGTTGTTCCCTCCTTTGGGATAGTGTGCACCAGTTTAAGACCCCCATAACTTTACCTGTATCAGAGCCACGGAGACACCCAGAACACAATAATGCAGCCTGATAATGTAACTTGCTAGGGATATTGATCAGTACTTGAGTTGATGAATGATAAAGAATGTCTGCGTAGTCAAAATGAGGCCTTATGAATGAGTTGTACATTGTCTCCAAATGTTTCGAGTTAATTTTTGATGTAAGTGCCTTCAATGGATTAAGCAGTTTTTGTACTCTCTTGACAATGTCATATATATGATTTTTGTCAGAAAGAATATAATCAAAAGTATACCCTAGATGCTTATGAAGATTATTCCTTTTAATTTCCCCATTTCCAAGCTAAAGGTGGCGGAGAAGGAAATACACAGCCCTGGCTTTGAAAGATAACTTTTCAGGCTTGAAATCTAGTTTCCATTTTAAAATCTTGATCATGGTACCCAGCTTCACAGATTCCAGCAACTTTAATCTGATCTAGTTCTATTCTTTGGGTGAGTATGTCAAAACGAGCACCGTTATCAGAGCCGATGCTGTTTATATTGCTGAATAAAACGTTCAAATGATCAAAATGGACCACATTTCTACTCGGTGGACCTGGGTTAGTATGAATATCACCTGCCCTTATAAGTAATACTTTTAATAGATTGCAAGATAAGATAAGGTAGATGAGGTGAATCCACGAATAAGATAATGAAAAAATGGTTAAAAGGCATTTTCTAGTGCTTGACCATTTTCTGAGCCTCGTGTATTTAAAGGTGCTAAAGGGAATGAGTAACGCCATAATTGAAATGTACGTCAGAATAAAACAATTTTTCGTAGCAACAAGTAATTGATCGGCTATCGACAAATGCCATGTTACATCGATCATAACTACTAAAAGCGTGAGACAATAAATCATAAGTAGATTGAATTTTGCCAAAATATGGAAGCACATTTGTTTCTTTTGCTGGAAGTTTTAAATCTGTGAACAGCATTAAAGGAATTAAAGAAGCCCACCCTTGCCCTATATTGGAGTAAATCAATATTCATTTAACCTATACCTGACCTTCCCCACCCAGACCCAAGGATCCCCCCAGATGCACATCGTCCATGAAGAATCAGCTTTTGGTAATACATGCAATCAGAAATATAGTCATCAGCAGTGCAGCTGTAACAAGTTAATATTAAATTCAGTTATTCCAAATTCTTAAATATCAAGAAAATGCATATTTCCAGAGGACAATGAGCATAGTAATACAAAAATATATAACATATAAAGTCTACCAATCTACTTTTAGTAATACCATGGGCTTAGCTAGTTGAAAGCCCATGGTAATACTCATGGAGGTAAAAGTAAAATCCCAGACTAAATTGGGTTGGGCATCTTACATATGGAATAGTGCTAGAACTATTAAGTTGTATCGAAAGATCATGTTTACCTTGATAACTCTTAAATCAAAAGGTGCTAACTAGTCATGAAATCATTAACTTCATCAATATCATTGGCAATCATAGTCTAAATCAAGTTGGGTAGCTTACTTATACAGTAGAATAGTTAAGGTACCAAAGATTATTATTATATGTACATTGTTAAAACCGTATGAGATTTTATGAAAAATAGGGAGCATTTAGTATGGTGTAATATGCTAAGACTTGTTGGGGAGCTTTCTTTTAGTATAATAATGATTGATACCATAAATTACCAAACTTGAAAACCCATGAAGCCCATGATTCACTAATTTAAGCAATGTTAATTAATCATGTCATTCAAGCAGTAAGACCTTAAGTCACGCATTGACTTAGTTTGACTTAAAGCTAGGTTTGCTTGATTAAATGTGATCATCATTTTTGAATGACACATTTAGTTAACATTGCTTGACTAATGTGTGACTCTAGGTCTTAATGTTTGTAAGGTCAAGCAATGCTAATTAAATGTGTCATTCAAGTCACACATTAGTCAAGCAATGTTAATTGCCCTTTGAAATGGCATTATTGTACTAGTAATTTTCAATTCCAATCGTGAAACTTGCCTGCTTAAGATTTTACGGGAAATCAACACGGGATGAAGATTGTTCACCTTCCTGGCTTACCTCTGAAAGCCTGTACCTTGTTATCTCTTTATATAGGTTAGCGAGAGCGCTGCGCCTGCGCAGTTTTAAACTTTGGTGCACACTTTAAAAGCTCTGCCTATAGGATTCCTGTTTTAAGTTATTTTTGTTCAACATCAATATAGAAAAGTCTCCTTTGACTCCTGGTTCAAAAGCTTGCCTATTTTCAAAATGATTGCCATTTTTTGTCTCGCGAAATTCACTTTTGGCCTATTTTCTAGCTTTACAAATAATTTCAGGTGTCCTGCATTGTTAAAGCCATGTCAATGTAAAGAGTAGTTGTATGGAATAATTTTGTATCCAAAAATTGGCAGAAAGTTATATCCCCTTTTTATTTTCAGCCATTTTAGTTAACATTGATTTGTCCATCTGTCTCGCGAAATCCATTTTAGGACAATTTGCCTTAAAACCTCTGTTCATATGATTCCCATTTTCAGTTATTTAGTTCAACATCAATACAGAAAAGTCTCCTGTGACTTCTGGTTCAAAAGCTAGCCTATTTTTAAAATGGTCCCCATCTTACCCACGGTACTTTTTATTTCAAAATCATCAAGTTCTCAGAAATTCAAATCTGACTTAAGATTGAACTCATAATATTGTAAGCAATTAGGTGGTGACATTTTGTCATGTTAATGGCTTGTTTGACATGTTTTCATCAATTAAATCAATGTTTATTTTTGAAATATGAGTGTCCCATTTTTTGGACCACCCTGTTTATTGTTTAAATCATTAACTTAAGGAAAACATTATATTTTTAAAAAATGATACTGAATATCTTTTTGGGGTTTCAGATCCAATGTTACCCTCAGAGAGCGAGCTGATTGGCCAGTCATCAGATGTGGAGGTCGAAAAATCCCAGCAGCAAGAGACCCAAGAATAAAATATCATAAGTGACATGAAACCAACATAAGTGACATCTTTGAATCAAATGATGTTAATTATAGTTCAGTTATATACTTGCAGTGTGGAAATCCCAGAATCTAACACATGGTTTATTGACTAGTGCTGAGATCCTCTCTCCAGACACCTGTATCATGATAAATACCTTTAGACAGTTTAACAATAGGTGTATATTGTATTGTATTGTATTTTGTTAACCACTAATGCTGGTGAGCAATACCTCTAGGGTATATCCTGTATAAACATGTACGGTTGTAATTGTAAATGAATGCAATCATGAAAAGCAGACCCAGGAACTCCTCCTTGAAGAGCCCTGTGTTCTTTTATGTGCACTCATACATACATGTAGTCATACAAGTATACACCACAGTCTTTTGTACGTGTTGTGGATCACTCAAGTCAAACACTCTAGAGAACTTTACGAAAACAAGCAAATTAAGTCTTGTCTGAACCAGGGATTGAATCTAGGATATACATGTATTATTATATTATTTAGACCTTTTATACAAGGTGTCTCAAAAAAGGAAACCAAGATTAAATCGCTAATTTCTCAAAGATGAATAATGTTAGGGGAAATTTGCAGGTACCTTCACTGGTGTAGCATTGGTATTTTGTTAGTGTACACCATGAGTGAGCGAAGTGAACGAGCTTTGAGTTGGGTTTGGGGGGTTCTCTCCCCCAAGGCAATTTAACTGAAATGAAATTGCGTTTGAAGCATTCTGGGAAATTCGACTAATATGGACTAAAACTGTACAATGTATCATTTTGCTTTTCATATACATGTATTGTTACTTCATGTATTCAGAATATCCAGAATTTTAAAGTCACAGTGGTTCAATTTCCATAGTACCCTTATGTATCTGATAGTTATATAAATTCAAATATGTCCATATTATCTGACCAATATAAGATATTTCACTTTTTATCGCACCCTAAGGTGCTATATTGTAATCAGTTTGCCGGGCGGTTGGGCGGGCAGGCGGCTGGGCCGTTGGGCGGGCGGCCCGAATAATCTTGTCTACAGGTTTCCAGCCAAACCGTTTGAGGGATTCATTTGAAATTCTCAGGGATGTTTCTACCTATGAAAGTTTAGAACTTATTAGTTTTTGGGCATTCTGGGTAAATGTTAAGGCGGCCTTTTTGGATTTTCCGTCCTAAGATCTTGTCTGTCAAGGCTTGTCTACAGGTTTCCAGCCAAACCGTTTGAGGGATTCATTTGAAATTCTCAGGGATGTTTCAACCTGTGAAAGTTTAGAACTGATTAGTTTCGGCATTCTGGGTAAATGTTAAGGTGGCCATTTTGGATTTTCCGTTCTAAAACCTTGTCTGTCAAGGCTTGTCTACAGGTTTCCAGCCAAACCGTTTGAGGGATTCTTTTGAAATTCTCAGGGATGTTTCTACCTATGAAAGTTTAGAACTGATTACTTTTTCGGCATTCTGGGTAAATGTTAAGGCGGCCATTTTGGATTTCCGTCCTAAAATCTTGTCTGTCAAGGCTTGTCTACAGGTTTCCAGCCAAACGGTTTGAGGGATTCATTTGAAATTCTCAGGGATGTTTCTACCTATGAAAGTGTAGAACTGATTAGTATTGCGGCATTCTTGGTAAATGTAAAGGCGGCCATTTTGGATTTTCCGTCCTAAAATCTTGTCTGTCAAGGCTTGTCTACAGGTTTCTAGCCAAACCGTTTGAGGGATTCATTTGAAATTCTCAGGAATGTTTTTACCTATGAAAGTTTAGAACTGATTAGTTTTTCGACATTCTGGATAAATGTTAAGATGGCCATTTTGGATTTTCCATCCTAAAATCTTGTCTGTCAAGGCTTGTCTACAGGTTTCCAGCCAAACCGTTTGAGGGATTCATTTGAAATTCTCAGGGATGTTTCTACCTATGAAAGTTTAGAACTGATTAGTTTTTCGGCATTCTTGGTAAATGTTAAGGTGGCCATTTTTTGATTTTTCGTCCTAAAATCGTGTCTGTGAAGGCTTGTTTTAAAAAATAGAAAAGAATTTCCCATTTAGAGCAATGTTAAATTAAAACATTTTTTTAGAAATAACAAAACAGTCAATCTTTCCAATTTTCACATATTTTGTAATACATCAGTATATCTTTTACCAGGATATTTTTCAGGAAAATCTGATTGTAGAAAAAAAGCTGATACACTGTGAAGTAATACCTTAAAACGTGTCTCTTGAGGGTCATTTACAGGTTTCATGGATTCATCCTAAAATTTTAGAGATATTTCTATGGAAAGTTTAGAACTGATTAGTTTTTAGGCAGTCTGGGTAAATGTTAAGGTGGCCATTTTGAATATTCCATCCCGAAAAGTGTATTCTGTTCAAGGGTGCGATTCTGTTCACCGTGTGGCTTATTGTGATTTTATAACAGGGGGTCTATGGAAAATCTCCTTGACCTAGAAGTTACATTTTCAAAGAAAATTTAATTTCAAAGCTGATAAGCACTTTTTGAAACCACATATCTAGATGTAATTTAACATGGTGATTTTGAATATGATGTCTACTATCACTTTGACTGAAGTTTGAATATTTAATGATGTAAATCAAGATTATTTCTACTCGCATCTAGTCTACAGTGCTCACCACAGATACATTAGACTACATGGCATCTTGATTTTCGATCACTTTTCCCAGACCATGGTGATTTGAGACTTCATACTTTCCAATAATGTCTAGATACACTAAATATCCCTTAAAGGATTGGTATCAATATGGAGAACTGAATTCAACAAAGTTTTTCTCTTAAATCAATCATTGAAAACATTCTGTAAAAAACATGGTATTTTATGTAATATTGACTGATTGACAACAATTCAATGCAAAAATTATTTAGAAATATTTTATATAACTGTTTTTGTTAACATTTCTTGTTTTTTTAGTGCAATTGTTTTTGCTCCTTTCTACCAATTCTTGAGAATGAAATAAAATGTCTTTCCAAACCTTGATGGAAAAAATAGCATTTACAACATGTTTTTAGACCTCTCAATATTATATAGTTATACAAAGGAATTTTTGGTTGATTTTAAAAATGTATTCAAAAAATTAAAACAAAATCCCCCCAAAATAGATAAAAATCAAGATAAACCTTTTATTTTATTAACAAGATACTTTTTTAAAATCAACCAAAATGTCCTTTGTACAATTACAATATTGAGAGACCTAAACATGTTGTGTTTATGTCATTTTGTTCTAGTGAGGTTCGGAAAGATGTTTCATTTCACTCTGGAAACATGATACCAAGAACAAAACAAGTGTTTGATGTGTTTTCTAAAACAATATAGATGAAAGTATATATATTTTTAGCTCACATGGTGAGCTTTTGCAATCCCTCACTTGTCCGTCTGTCTGTCTGTCCGTCCGTCAACAATAGTGGCACGTTTTAGAACCTCTGTCGATGGGATTCCTGTTTTAAGTTATTTCTGTTCAACATCAATACAGAAAACTCCCATATGACTCCTGGTTCAAAAGCTCGCCTATTTTCTAAATGGCCGCCATTTTTGTCTCACGAAATTCACTTTTGACCCATTTCCTAGCTTTACAAATGATTTCAGGTGTCCTACATTGTAAAAATCCATGTCAATGTAAAGAGTAGATATTTGAAATAATTTTGTTACAAAAAATCAGCGAAAAATTATATCCATTTTTTTATTTTCAGCCATTTTAGTTAACATTGATTTGTTCATCTGACTCGCGAAATCCACTTTTCCGCCAACAACAGTGGCACGTTTTAAAACCTCTGTCGATAGGATTCCTGTTTTAAGTTATTTCTGTTCAACATCAATAAAGAAAACTCCCCTATGACTCCTGGTTCAAAAGCTCACCTATTTTCAAAATGGCCGCCATTTTTGTCTCGTGAAATTCACTTTTGATCTATTTTCTAGCTTTACAAATAATTTCAAGTGTCCTACATTGTAAAAATCCATGTCAATGTAAAGAGTAGATGTATGAAATAATTTTGTTACAAAAAATCAGCAAAAAATTATACCCATTTTTTCAGCCATTTTAGTTAACATTGATTTGTCCATGTCTCGCAAAATCCACTTTTGGACCATTTGCCTTAAACCCTCTGTTGATAGGATTCCTGTTTTAAGTTAATTTTGTTCAACATCAATACAAAAAACTCTCCTATGACTCTTGGCTCAAAAGCTCGCCTATTTTCAAAATGGTCGCCATTCTTGTCTCGCGAAATTCACTTTTGGCCCATTTCCTAGCTTTACAAATAATTTCAGCTGTCCTGCATTGTAAAAAGCCATGTCACTGTAAGGAGTAGTTGTATGAAATAATTTTGTTACAAAAAATCGGCAAAATATTATATCTGTTTTTTTTATTTTCAGCCATTTTAGTTAACATTGATTTGTCCATCTGTCTCGCAGTCAGTCCAAAATAGTGGCAAGTTTTAAAACCTCTGTCTGTCAACACTTGGCTTTTCTTAAAGTTATGGAGAATTCACAGGCGGATGACAAACTGTCTATTTTATGTATAGTGCTATTGAGACTGATTATGACTGTTTAGAAACATGTTTAAAGTATAGACAATGAAAATCTAGTGATATAATACTACAGTTACCTGTACATGTTGAAAGTTTAAAGCACTATATTTATTTTGAACTGTCTATGTTATAACATGCATTCATATTTTGTTAATAGAGACTCTTGAGTAAACTTGAGTTTAAAGTTTAAAGGGGAGATGTAATGTTATGTAACTATTTCAAAGAGTTTATGCATCTGAGTCTGTTAACTAGTTCAATATGTTCAAACTAGATTGCCATCTGGTGGCTGAATAAACACGTTTTAATGTGAACACTTGTCTTAGTTTAATAATGTTCACCTGAGGCCTCATCACCTGCTCATCGCAAGATTTGCGGTTACGTCTGCGTTGCGCTTGCGAATCGACAATTTTCGCAAGCGCAACTCCTGAGTTGCGTTTTATCACGTGCTCGTCGCAACGCAGATCGCAACTTAAGTGGTAGATTACCACATGCGATCGCAAGATGTACATGTAGACTCCAACTAAACTGGCGGGAAAATAAAATTTATAATGTGTCTCTCGACTTGATGGGTTTGACAGTTATTGTCACAGCTATTGAGGTATTCTAATTTTAGAATCCGTCTCATTGGTTGTAATTTTAACACCACGTACGCGCATCAGAAAACGCGGCAAAACATATTAGGTCATTTTAGAGTTTGCTTGCTATACAAGTACTGTAGACAACGGAGCTAAAGATGTCAGTCTGTTCTAAAAACTGGCTTAATAGGGAAATTGAAGTATTATTATCGCTTGTTGAACAATATGCTCATGTCATCCTATCTCCTCTAAGTGGGGCCCTGACTGCGGAAAGACCCCGGGGGAAAGACAGGATTCTACATGGGACGACATTGCCAATCAAATATCTACAGTCAGATCCTTAAATAATTACTATCGATTTCAAAAAGACATTTTGCCGCACATATAATAAATTGTTACCTCAGGGAATTAAGAACTATATTTTCTCCGTTCTGGAAAATACAAATATACATGTTCTGCAACAATCCATTTTAAAATAACATTTCACCTCTTATACAACTACAGTATACCATACTTTGTATTTCTTTATCAATCAATTGATACAATAAAATTACCAGATATACAAATTGAACAATTTTCATTTTGGTTTGAGACTACAAACAATGGCTGCCATTTGAAAAGTGGATTCACATGTTTACAAACTATCCACCATACGCTGATATAAAGATGTATCGCAAAAAGCTCGCGCACGCATTGTTACACATTTTGTGGCGTAATCCAGAGGATCCTCGCTTTTAACATGGTAGAATGTGACGTTTTTGAGAAAAATGTACACAAATGAAAATCCTTTCGTCCTCCACATTTACCTCTCTATCTCAAAACATTTTAGACGAATAACTCTGATATCATATATATATTGTTAATGGGCTAGGAGCATCATAAAACACGAATCAATTGATATTTTAGGTGAAATAAATATACGTGTTGCTGTGCTTGAAAATAGGCGAATGGCGTAAATTAGCCCTATTTTGATGAATTTTGAAAACCTTTCGTCCTCCACTTTTCCACATACAACAGAAAACACATACTTTTGCGAACAAAATCAACTATTTATTAATAAACTAGAGTTTAGGAGCAAAATAATCATGTATGATTTATTAAAAATTGATCTCGTATTTTTGGTTTAATGTACACCTGAAAAGTTGAAGGAACAAAAAAATGAGCAGAAAAGGTCGCTGTCAACAGATTCTATTTTTCAAACTCTATGACGTCACAATATGGGACGCTTACTAAAATTCATCCTTTGAAATAAAACTTCTATCTACCTTTATCAAGACGAACAATAAGTATAATAGTCATATATTTTTGAGTTATGAGCGTTTAAAGACGAAAAATAATTCAAAATGTAACGTGTCAACAGGGAATATTTGCCAGATGTTTTAAAGAACGCGCAAGAATTGTGAACGGAGTGTAGTTGATCTAAAAACTTCATCGAAACAGCTTTAAAATGATATACAACTTTAATTAGAATATTATTTTATAATCCGGGGAATCAAAGTTACATTCACGCGATACCCCTAAAAAACAAATGCGCCACCTTTTTGCGACACGTCAAAGCCTTGGAGACATTTATTCTGCTAATAATCATTTACAGGAGTATATATTCTAGCAATGGAGGAGTGTTTGGCACATTAAATGTTCAAATTCAGCAAACTGTGCCAAATATTTCAGGTGTCTTTTATTTTTGGATCAGACTACGGAGTAGAAAGAACGTAGAGTAATTAAGCTCTTTCCTCTATATACTTGCATGGACCAGCATTTCATTCATTTCAATGAAAACATAAATCAATCATGGAAATTATGTTTTCAAAAGCATTCCATCTAGAGCAGTATATATTTCTGAGGGTGTATTCCACGCAGCTCGTGTAGATATCGTAAATATATAGAGGATATCTTATGATTTATGAGTGATATGATTTTTATCCACGAATGGATATGATATCTGCACGAGAGAGTGCAGATATCAATATCCATGAGTGGATTAAAATCATATCACGACTGATGAAGATCTTTAATGATCTTTAATGATGCTGGAATGCACGATGTTTTTCTGCTCCGAGGTGTCAGATCATTATTAAACATGTTCATCAGCTCAAGCTAGAATTAAAGCCCTTGGCATTCTATATCTCATTAGGATCTCATTGTCGTCCAATGCATCCAGAGGATGTACTCTGTCGCGTATAGTAATATCCTCCTTCCACGTTCATTGTGGTGTCTTCGTAGGACCACATAAAACATTTTGCATTCCTTTTATTCAATTATCATAGCAGATGAGATTTGTGATAAGAATTTGTATTAGATTATAAAATTCGAACGTTTTCGATCGCACCTCATATCATAACCAAGTCGTCGGAATTAAGCACTTTCGAAAAACATAAACTTACTTTTTTTACACCATCGTCTTTAGAAATGAATATACTTACACAATCAATAAAGAAACACATAGATTGACATAACAAAAATAGATAACAATTGTCTTGAAGATGAGTGATATTTGCGATTATTTTGCGGCAGGTTGATAGCTAGAGCCTTCCAGAAGGGTAAGAGACTTGAAAATCATGTCTTCACTCTGAAAGGTCTATGTTCTCTTAGAAAATCGAAACGTCTTAAAACATATTTATCATTTATTGATATTTCAAAAGCTTTTGACGTGTTAGATAGAGACTTATTATTTATTAAACTATGGGAAACGGGTATCCAGGGTAAATTATGGCCTGTCTTGAAAGAATTATATAATAATGTTCAAAATAAGGTAATTTTTGGACAAAATTCCACAGACTGGTTTGACTCTGAAACCGGAGTCAAGCAGGGCTGTATCCTCTCCCCAACCTTGTTTATAGTTGTCATGAGTGACCTAGAGGACTCCCTAAAATCGGTTGACACAGGGCTCCCTTTTGAGAACTTCAAAATCCCATGTTTGCTCTTTGCTGACGGTATTGTCCTAACTGCTGAATCTGGTAAAGACCTTGAACTCCTTCTGAACGTTGTTAACAGATTTGGAATAAAGTGGGGCTTTAAGTTTAGCAAAAAGAAATCAAAGGTAATGGTCATTGGAAAAAAAAGTTGATTCAACTAAACTGTGGAAATTTGGCGACCTAAAACTCTCTGAAGTTAATGTATATAAATACTTGGGAACCTTTTTCCACAGGAACTTAAAATATTCTCATCACATTGATGTACATGTATCTAAGAAATCACGAATGTTAAATGGGAAAACAATATATCACTCTATGATTGAGTCTGCAATTTTATCTGGATGTTCTATATGGACACTTACCAAAAGTAACATAGCTCTGATGAAGTCAATTCAATACAGAGCAGCGCAAGCTGTTTTACAATTAAAGTGTAAACCCACAAGACCAGCCTTATTGGGAGATCTCGGTTGGACTCCCATTGACCTCACAATTGAAAAACGACAAATTGCCTACTTTAAATACCTAAAGTTTGACCTAGCCCATTCATCCCTACCCCATAAGGTTTTAACTCATTTGATAAAGCAACATAGTGAAGGTAATGAAGCCCCTTGGAAATATGTGTCTAACATAAAGTCTATTTTAATCAAGAGGGGCCTTGATGACGTTCTTTTTCGAGATGACTGTGAGTGGTACAATACCTATGAAGGCATTTGTAGACAGGAACGCACCACTAATTTTATTGATGACATTTCCCATTTTAAATCTCTAAATACTTATTCCACCTTTAAGAACCATCCATACCAAGAAAATTATCTAAAACAAGACTTTGATTTTTATGGTTCTAGACTCAAATTTCTTGCAAGAACCAACAATTTTTGCCTTGAATCCAATTACTCTGTATGGGGCAAAAGTGATGGCAAATGTAAACTTTGTAGTTTGAATGTACATGAAGACTTACAGCATAGGTTGCTGCTGTGTGAACATTTTAAAGAAGAACGTGAATCCTTTTTCCACACTGTTTGTAAGCAATGTCCCTCCGATTTATTTTCTGATTTCATTAAGGGCAATCTGACTGAAAAATTGACCTTTATTCTTGGTGATGAGACTTTTTCAAAATGGGGGCAAGACTATTTTAGATTATTTGATAGCATTGTAAAAAGCTTTTTAACCCAAGTGTACAAGCCCAGAGATTTATGTCTTTGATTATTTTAGTATATGCAACATTGTTTTAAAGAAATTATACATGACTTTGTATTCTATTCATATTGCACTGTTGCTCATAAATATGGAATATTAGATTTGGCAGCTCAGAATTCAAATTTTGGAGTAAGAGAATATTTATTTGGAGTCGGTTCAGACATTTATTTTCTAGGCAAATTATAACCACATATTTCATCTACAAATCAATATTTTTTAGAGAAAAAATATTCACATTTAAATTTAGAAAATTACTCTTATTTAAACGGGGGTAAGCTGAGAATTTTTGCATTTTCAAAACACCCCGATCCAAATCGTCATGTAAAACAGATCAAACAAAATAAACATCTGGTCATGAAGATTGAAGTGTCCTCTATCCAATGATAGCACTTATATGCGATATGTCCTCTTTGTGCTGCAATCAGAGCATCAACCCTACGGGACCAGCATTGAATGAAACATCTGACCTTTCTAAGTGAAATAAGGCCCCATTCCTCAATTTGAGCAGTACGTAACGTGTCTAAATTTTGAGGTTGGGGTCAAAGTCACGCATCTCATTACCAAGGTCGTCCCATATTTGCTCTGCATTAGCCTGATTGGCTGACTTTTGTGCCTATGGTAGCTGGTCCACATTGCCTGCCCTGATGTAATCCAACACAATGCCACTAGCATATGCAACAGCATGATCATTCTGCAGATGAATGTTGCCCCAAAACACTCTATTTACATATGGTACTTGATGGAGGTCCAAAAGGTCAATTTACTCTGAAATTATGTTTGGGAATCACCAAGGGGGTGCAAATTTTGTAGTATTGCTCCAAACAACCTCTGTAATACTGCTCCAAACGTAAATAGGGTCACCTTCGTGGACTGCCACATCATTAAGTGTCCTTATTGTCTCTTTCCTCTGGTCTACGACAGAAACGAACACACTTATCAACTTTGTGGAGGACACATCTTATTTCTTCACATGCTGTCATATGACACAAAAGATTAGGTGCAACGTTTTCGTGCTTTCCTGCCCATTGAAGGCACCTTTCTTTGTTATGATCAGTCAGCTGTGGTTTCTTTAAAGGTCTCATGGCCTTGCATCCGTTCTAAAGAAATTACTGGTTGTCTATAGCTCTGGAACACAGGTTTTGAGGTGAGACAGCCATTTATCTCGTAGACTACTGGTTGACTTAAAGCGATTTTGATGACATTAATGCAGCAGGTGGTGGTCTTTTCTTACATTATTCTCCCTAGGGTTACTATTGCTGTGACCTGGAGTCATATTCCAATGCCTTTGGTACCACTGCAGAATTTTAGAGACTGTTCCTGACACACCCCTAGGGCCCTGGGAATGGCAGTTTGTTTCATGCCAGAGAACGCCATCCCTATGACCTGCCATGCTCTTTTTCGCTTATTTTATGGGGCATGCCTTCTAAAAACTCTTCCAACTCTAAATTAAAATTTTATAAAATGTGCACAATGGTTACAACTAAGATTTGGACACCTCTTTCAAGTTACCAATATCACGAGGTCATGGGGTCACCTGAGTGAATACAAGTTTAATCAACCATAAATATTTTAACTTTTCATACCAATCAGTTTTATATGCAAAACTGATGAGGGAATGAAAACACATTACAAATTTTCACCAAAATGTTATCATTTTGTAGAAATTCCATCAAACAGTTCGTATCTATAAAATATTCCATATTTATGAGCAACAGTGTGTATAGTTGTATGTAGCCGCACTGGATAATAATCCATGTGCCACTGTTATAAAAGTGTTGGCAAATAAATAAATAAATAAAATAACATGCGATTGCGTCGCGTTGCGCTGAGCGGATGATACAAATCTTGACTGCGATTCGCAAAAACTTGCGTTGCGTTGTGGTGCGCTTGCGATTCTGCGTTACGACGAGCAGGTGATGAGGCCTCTGCACAGCGATAACATTTGATGATGTGTTGCTTACCCCCCCCCCCCCTATCACACCAAACTAGTTCTTACCCGTTCTTGCCAGTCCTACGAAAACGCCATAAAACGGGCTCCATCTGGGTGTGGTCGGGAAATATGTGTAAAATAATTAGCTACTTCGTTCTTAAACAGTCTTCAATACGTCCATCTCAATCGATCATTCGCAGTTCGTTCAGGTCGCACCACGTCGGTGTACAACGTCGTATAACGCGTCCCTTAGTCTAGAAGGTCATCGTGACCTGATTTCAGAACGGTATGGTCACCATCGAATTTTTAATCATTCCAAAATTCTAAAATCACCTTCCCGTCTGAGAACGTTCATGAAGTTCGTACAGAGTCCTTAGAAAGTAGCAGTTCATTCCGTTCGCACACAGTTTAAAACCAGTTTTGAAGAACGCAGTGGCAACTTGTTTGGTGGGATAGCTATACTTTTGCTAACTCGTTCACAAGGAGTCTTTAATACGTTCTTAATCAGTTTAATGCCGTTTGCAATTAGTTCTACTAATAATGGCCTCTTCTATAAATTGTATAACATTGGTATAAATGGAAAATTGTGGCGCCTTATTAAAGATTCCTATAATGGATATTCATGTTCAGTAAAGATATCAAAAAACTCCCCCCTGTCTGACCCCTTCCCTGTGAAAAGGGGAGTCCATCAGGGAGGATTTTTTTCGATGAAACTATATGCTCTATTCATGAATGAGCTACTAAATAAGATCCAGTGATGTAAGTCAGGTTGTAAAATAAATGGCTTGACCATAACATGCCCTTCATATGCTGATGACAAAATCAATGCAACATTTGTTAAATATCATTATGAATATAGCCTGAAATGGAGATACCAGTATCATCCAGAAAAATGTCAAGCTATAGTCTTCTCTAAAAGTATGAAGGGAAAAAATCCAACATTAGTCCTTGGAGATAAAAAAATTCCAATAGATAGTGACTCGATTCAACATTTGGGATTACCTATTTGTAATAAATCAAATTTAGAACATATAGAAAATGCTTTGTCAAAAGGAAGGAGAACAATTAATGCATACATTGGTGTGTCATCTACTGTAAATAACCCATCAAATCCATTAACTGCATCAAGGCTATATTGGGCAATATGTGTCCCCACAATAACATATGGAATGGAACTATTACCCTTAAAAGAGTCTGATTTAAAGTGTATTGAAAATGGTCATAGAGGTATTGCTAGGAAAATTCAAGGGATTCCAAAACAATTTCAATCGGATTTGTAGAAAAAACCGGGTACCGGGTAGTAAATCCTCCATGCTGGGTTCAATCTTGGTACCCAGTACATAACTCTTATTTATCCCATGGTTACAAGGATATAGATCGAATATCACGTGAAGATATAATTGATACGTGGATGAAGATATCATATTTTAGCAAACAATTCCCAAATCATCGAATATCACTTTTGAAACCATCGAATATCACTTTTTGAAAGGTGATATTCGATGGTTTCAAAAGTGATATTCGATGGTTTTGATTTTTTCAATTTTTTTATTAATTCAGCAAAACGATTGTTTGTATATTTTTTATTTTTTTGGATCTTGTTTTTACGGCGTTCGCATTAAATACAAACCACTCTGTTACGTCACGTATATGACGTTCGTTGAATTATCGCAATCAAAATGTCACTTATATCCACTCATGGATATCAGTATCTTCACTCACTCGCTGCGCTCACTCGCGAAGATATCAATATCCACTCATGGATATAAGTGATATTTTTTCAAAGCCATAGGATATTCCTATATTATTCCATAGTTAGCATGATATCCATAGGATAACATGTCAAAATAAAAATGGTATTTTTGAAATCAGTGGTAAAATATGATATTTTTGACAAATTTTCACTTAACCATAGCATACGGTGTTTTAGCCATGACATACGGCGCCGTATGCCATGGTTTATGGATTTTTGCTACTTCAGACTCAAAATGAGGCTAAGTGTCAATATCGCCGTATCGTTTGGAAAATTCGTTTTAAATCACTTAATTCCCGACGATGATGATGACTTTAACTATGGAATATAAAGAACATCCTATGATTTACTCATGATATGATTTTAATCCACACATGGATGTTAATATCTGCACTCTCTCGCTACGCTCATTCGTGCAGATATCATATCCATTCGTAGATAAAAATCATATCACTCATAAATCATAGAATATCCTCTATTTAAGATGTGATATTCGATAGTTTAAAAGTGATATTCGATGGTTTGTAAATTGTTTGCTAAAATATGATATCTTGATCCACATATCAAATATATCATCATGTGATATTCGATCTATATCCTTGCAACCATGGGATAAAGCTTTACGTCCCGCTCCGAGCGGACAGATATAGTATATCTGCCCGCTACGTCATAATCGCCGCTCGCATATTTGTTCATAATTTGTAACGTTCGCGGAATGACTGTAAACGGCAATGGAGAAAACACAGACAATCGGGGTCTGTTTGATGGTTAAAAAAGGGAAGGAGCATCCACTTAATTAATAAAAAATTCGAGAAAATAAATATGGGAATATTTGAGAGAACATGAAAATCCGCCCACGGCCAAGAAAACTGGACATGAATATTCTAAAATATTTCCACGATTTAACAATGTGAACCAGATGACCAAGATTAGTATGGGATAAACATATTATCCTATAGTCGGTTCAGGATATTGGGATTATCCCTTGGCCAATATATAGGGGTTATGCACTGGGAAGTTTTGGATACAGGGAATATCCCGAGGGATATACAATATATCTTCCTGAGGAACCGAAGGGACCAAGGGAAGATACATTATATATCCATCGGGATATTCCCTGTATCCAAAACCTCCCAGTGCATAACTGTTGTATATAGTTTAGCATGATATGTACTTCTTTCTGTAACTAGAATACGATTCTAATATACAAGCAACACATACGTATTCCCGGGGAACCATAAATATTTTGTGTAGGGTGTGGACATTTTTCTTTTCATTTCTCTAAAATCAGATTATTCTCATAAAATTCATACAAAGTTGGGCCTAAGCCGGGGCCTAAGCCTCTATTTTCGTATTCTG